GCGTCCCCCATCTACAGATACTGATTTCCGACCATAATGAAGATGATGATTATGTTGAATAGTTATGATGATGATGACCGATGCATTCCGAGCTTTGGGAACTTCCAATGCCCTACGGGGAACAAGCAGAACCTCTTCATCCAATATGGACGCCAGGTAGATCAGTAATAGCAAGCTCTGCAGATCAGGTATCTTCCTATCAATCATAGCCATACCAACTCAAGGGAACCAGCGCTAGAGCATGAGGGGGAAATGGGTCTGGGAATTCTGATGGGGGGCGCAGCGGGATAGATGAGTCTATAGTGGTCCAGTCGTGAAACACCAGCCGGAAGTCTCTGGGTACTTCCTCATATTGCCCTTCCTTGATTCCTCTCCTTCCCTCACCTTCTCGAATCTGACCAATCTTCCCTCCTTGGGACCCCCTTAGCCAAGCGCCACTGAATTGTTTGATGTGCTGTAGAATTTCTTTTCTGGAAGATAAGAATTGAATTTTTTCCTTTACCTTGTTCCATTGAACTATAATGTCTGTCTGCACTTGTAGTTTGATTGCTTCTGTTAATTCAGGGCCATCAATCCTTGCTCCTTCCATTTCAAAGGTGCAACGACGATTCCATAGGGCCCAAATGATGGCCCTTCTTCCTGTTTTAAAGAGATTGTGAGAGAAATCATCTAGTGGGGCCGGGGACCAAGTCTCACATAACAGTGCTCTCCAATCCCATGGCCATGACTGTTGAGTTATAAGGGTAGACCAAATTCTATCCCACCAGCGCCACAACCAAACAGCACCTGGACATTGTAGGAATATGTGCTCTATGGTTTCTGGAATGCACCTGCTTGGGAACACAGAGGTACACATTTTGCACCAAGGGTGAGCAAGGCCTCTTTTTTCCAGTGATGTTCTGTCCATTAGCCAGTCATTTGTGGGCAGACAGCGGTGGTCAATCTGCCATTGTAGAGAAGCAATCTTTGTTGGCCTAATCTTGATAGTCTTAAACCACTTGATTCTCYTAATATCCTCCTTGCCCACATTCAGGTGTTTCATCCACCTGCTTTCCACCTGGTCTCTCAGATTTACCCTGGGTCTTAACATCCTGTACGTAGATTTGACCGTTAGTGAGTGAAGGAAGCGTGTACAGTTTCTGTTGCTCCTCATTGGAACCTTCCATGTCCAATAGATTGGGTCCAATGCCAGTTTGTTAATTGGGCACTGAGGTTTGAAAGCTAACCACTGGTCTTTGTGTTTCAGAACTCTGATTTTGAACACTTGTCCTGTTTCAACCCATTTGGTTTCTTTTATAGGATTTTCTTTTATCTGATAATTCTGATTGATTGAGAGAATAGAGATTAAAACTGAACCTCCCCCATCTTGCATTATAACACTTCCTACCTGTTGGGAGTTTCCCTGTATACCCACCCAATCACTTTCCTTGAGTTGGGCCCCTTTTCTGAGAATCCTTAACCAGGCTATCGGAATTGCTTCAGTAGTTGTCTCTAAAGCCTTTTCTGTTCCTCTGCAATATTTTAACCTTGGCAGGAGGCTGGAGAGCTGGAGCCAGTCTTTCGCTTCTGGGCACCATATATCCCCTGCCCTTAGTACCCCGTTTCTTGCCCATCCTTTCCAAGGTGAGTCTGTGCATTGGGGCAGTTTTGTCCAGTAGAGGCAGCTTGCGCCAAGTCCTGAGGAGGTTTGTCCAAAAAGGATCATTTTTTATATCCATTTTTGTGGCTTGTCTATGTGACTTCGCTGGTTGTTCCTTGTATTGTGTACTGCCTCTGAGGATAGGCCAATGGCGATTCTCTAACCACATCAGTGGATCAGTCCCACTAGGTACTTCAGGGGCTAGTCTTGCAATTTGCTCTTCTGCTAGTGCTACCCAAGGTGTCTCTAGGTTGAAAAAAAGTTTTTTAATCCACTGAACTGAAAGGGTCATGGCTTGAGTAGATGGGTCTAGTAACCCCAACCCTCCTTTTGTTTTGGGTTGGATCACCGCCTGCCATGCCACTCTGCTTAATACATTCTTATGATCATGGTTTCCCCTCCACAGATATGCTGTAATCTATCTTTGGAGGGGTTTAAGCGCAGATTTTTCCAGCGCCCATACTGCTGATTTATACCAGAGTGAGGCCAGTATGACATTGTTAATGACCAACGACCGCCCTATAATGGAGGTCCTTTTATCTTTCCATAATTCCAGTTTTGCCAGAGCCGGTTTACATATCCATTCATTGTTCTCCGTTGGTTTACCTCTTGCAGAGAGTGAAATCCCCAGTACTCTGATTGACTTTTCTGCTGAGACCCAGTTAATCCTTGGAAGTTCCGGCGGTCTCACTCCCTGGTGATGTATCCACCAACCTTGTGTTTTTGTTCCCCAATTTATTCTCATGTCAGAGAGAGCACAAAATTTATCCATTAGTTCCTTGACTTCCTTTAAATTTTCCTGAGAAGCTTCAACCATCAGTGAGAGATCATCTGCAAACAAGGAGCATACTGGTATTGCTTCTTCCGGTATGTAGGTGACATGGATTCGCCTGATGTCTTTGTTGCATCTCAAGTTAGCTGCAAGGACCTCCATTATTATAACAAAGAGGAAAGGAGCGATAGGATCTCCTTGTCTCACCGATCTCTCCAGTTCAATGGGGGGGGCTAAGTTCCCATTTATCATTACTCTTGTGGTTGCATTAGAGTGCAGAATCTCAATCCATTTACGAAAGTTAGGACCAAAATTGATTTTTTCCAGACATTTTTCCAGAAAAAAACAGTCTACATGGTCATATGCTTTTTCAAAATCTATGAAGATGAAAGCCGCATTGTGTTTGGATTGCCTTGAGAGTTTGATTAGTTCATTTACTAGTAGGATGTTGTCCTAGATGTTTCTTCCTTCAATAAAGCCCGTTTGAGTTGGGCGGATGATCTCCCTGATGACTTTTATCATCCGGTTGGCTAGCGCTTTTGCTACCAACTTATAGAATACTGTGAGGAGGGTAATAGGACGGTAATTTCGGATATTAGCTTTATCTCCCTTTTTGTATAAGAGGGTCAGGACTCCTTGCCCAACTATCTCTCCCATAGCTCCCGAGGACCAGACTGCATGATAGAAATYCATCAMATCTTGGGYCAGAAACTCCCACATTACTTYCCAGAATTCTTTTGGTAAACCATCAATCCCAGGAGYCTTTTCTTCTTCCATCATCATCAAGGCTGTCCARATTTCCTCTTTTGTGAGGGGGGTCTCTAGCATATCTTTCTGCTGATCTGATAGGGCTTTAGTCAGAGGTTTGAGGAACTCTTCTATTTCTGT